CCTTTGCTGTGGCTGCCGGTGTGCCTTGGCTGATTTAGCTCACAGTGATTATATTAAGACCTGCTGAGAAAGCTTTTGCCTAGTTTCTAGCATTTTCATTACAACAGTAACTTCAGACATCAGGCTACACTATTAGAATTATTTTTCTTTTTTTCTTTTTTTGAGACAAGGTCTCCCTGTAGCCCCAGCTGGCTTGGAACTCCCTATGTAGACCAGGCTGGTCTTGAACCCACAGAGATCCACCTGCCTTTGCCTCCCGAGTGCTGGGACTAAAGGCATCTGATACCATGTCCGACCAAAAAAACAAAATGTATTTTCTTTTCATGTGTCTGTGTTTGTATGTACAGGTGCCTGTGGAGCCCAGAAAAAGGCACTGGATTCACTGAAGTTGGAGTTGCAGGCAGTTACAAGCCATCTGACATGGGTGCTGGGAACCAAACTTGGGTCTTCTGTAAGAGCGATACATGCTCCTAATTGCTGAGTCATCTCTCCAGCTGTTTTTGTGTTTGTTTTTTTGAGACACATTCTTGCTATGGAGCCCCAAACTGGCCTTGAACTCAAGATCTACCTGCTTTGGCCTTCCAAGTACTAGGGAATACAGGTGTGTGTGACCATCTTGGGCATAATTTTTGGTTTAAACAAATCTCTCAGGTGGCTCAGGCACCACAGGAGAGGGGCTGTTTCATACTGGGAGTCTTTCTGCCTCCCTGGGTGCTGAATGCCATTCATTTGCATTTCTTTTAAAATTAAAGTGCCAGGTATAGTGGTATACACCTATAATTCCAGCACTTGGAAGGTAGATGCAGGAGAATCACTGCAACTCTGAGGCCAACCTGGCCTGTCAGGGGTGGCAGGTGACATATTAGCTTTCCTTCCTCACTGCACTCAAAGCCAGGTTTTTTACACTGCAGAAAAGAATTTCAGGAAGAGTCACAATGAAGCAGTGTTAGCCAATTTATTAAACAGATACAAGAGGGTAGGGCTTTAGACTTCAGTTTGGGGAAGGTGAGGGGACGTTGATTTAGAAAAAGATGTGAACAAAACCCCAGACATGGGTGTGGGCTTCTCAAGAGGGAGGGTGGGTGACACTCAGGTGTCCTTACATTTGCTATATATATATGATTTTGTGACTTTCTAAATTACATTCCTCAAAGGATTATTTCTGCTTTTGTTTTCTGAGATGGGTGTCTCACTATGTAGCCCTAGCAGGCCTGGAACTCTGTAAACCAGGTTGGCCTTAAAATTCAGAGTTCTGCTTGCCTCTGCCTCTAGAGTGCTGGGATTAAAAGTGTGTGCCACACCATGCTCTCTGAAATCTGTTTTTCGAAAAAACATTGTTCAAAGTCATCCTTGGCTACATAATAAATTCAAAACCAGCATGAGATAATACCTTGTCTACACACAAAATTTCCTTGAAGAAAAACAAAAGCATCTCAGCAAAGGTATAGAAGTTATGAAAAGGAACTAGTTGGAAACCACAGAACTGGAAACTACAATATAGAAATAAGAAACATACTGAATGTGCTCACTAGTAGAGATGACAGGGGATAGAATCAGTTTTTAAAAGATTTGAGCCGGGTGTGGTGGCACATACCTTTAATCCCAGCACTTGGGAGGCAGAGGCAGGCGGATCTCTTTGAGTTTGAGGCCAGCCTGGTCTACATAGTGAGTTCCAGGCCAACTGGGGCTACAGGGAGACCCTTTCTTAAAAAAAAAAAAAAAAAACACCAAAAAAGCAAAAACAAAACAAATAAACAACAAAAAAAGATTTGTTGGGTGTGGTGGCAAGTGTTGGGCTTAAAGGCGTTTAATTTATTTTATGTATCTGTATGTCTGTGCAGGTACCTGAGAAGGCCAGAGGAGAGAGCTGGATCCCCTGGAGCTAGAGTTACAGGTGGCAATGAGCCACTGTAATATACATGCTGGGAACCAAACTTGGGTCCTCTGGAAGAGCAGCAAGTGTCTGAACCACTGAACTATCTCTCCAGTCCAAAATTATTTTTTTAAACAAAATTTTATTATTTAAAAAATTTTAAATGTATTGCCTGCATGTATGTAAGTGCACCCATATAGTGTAATACACCCACAGAGATCAGAAGAGGGCACCAGATCCCTAGAACTGGAGTTACAGATGGTTGTTAACCACCATCTGGGTGCTGGGAATCAAACCTGGTTCCTCTGTAAGAGTAGCCAGTGCTCTTAACGACTGAGCCATCTCTCCAGCCCCAGAATCACCATTTTTGAATCTCACCAATTTACTCAAGATAGCCTTGAACTCACTCTGTAGTCCAGGCAGGCCTTGAACTCAAGTGTTCCTGCTCCAGCCTCCCAAGCTGCTAGCTATGCCACCAGGCCTGGAGATCTTAAGGATTCTAATGGATTAGATTCTAATGGATTAGCAATGGATTAATCCCTGGATGGATTCACAAGGTAAGGGCACTACTGGGAGATGGAGGTGGGGTCTAACTGAAGGAAGTAGGGCACTGGGTATGTACCTTGGAAGATACACCTTGTATGCAGCCCCTGACGCATGGTCTCACTGCCATGATATTCTGCCTCACTGCAGGCTGAAAGCAACAGACTCAGCCAACATTGGACTGAAACTGGTGAGCCAAGATAAACCTTTGCTCCTTCAAACTGTCTTTCAAGTATTTGGTCACAAGAACATAAAACCAACACAGACATTTTATCAAATAGGATATATAGGAATGTGGATAAGCCTGTGTGAATAAGCACATAAAAGATGCTTAACACCATTAGCCACCATACCTATGCAAATTAAGACAGAATGAGAGATGGGCTGGAGAGATAGCCCAATGGTTAAGAACTGTTCTTCCAGAAGACCTCAGTTCCAAACGCTCACATTGGGTGGCTCAAAAGCACCTGTAACTCCAGCTCCTGAGGATTCAACATCCTCTTTTGGCCCTTGTCAACACTTGCACTTATGTACACATAAACATACAGATATGTACTTAAAAACAAAATATTAAAAGAAAAAAAATCAATGAAACCCCACTGCATTATCATGGAGATGGGAGGACCCATGAGGCTTGCTGGTCAGCCAGTCTCCTCTAATCAGCATGCTCAAAGTTCAGTGAGAATCTCTCTCAAAGAATAAGGTGGAGAGTGATAATGGACAACACCTGTTGACTTCTTACACATACACATGTGCATCCACCCATAGACACACCCACACACACGCACAGACACACACACACACACATACGGAAAAAATAAGTCAAACATGGTGGTGCTTGCCTGTAATCCTAGCATTTGGGAAGCTGAGGCAGGAATGACAAGTTCCAGGCTATATGGAAAAACCATAAAACTAAATTAAAAATCAAGGGAATGAATAAAAAGATGAAGTGCTGGCATGTATGACAACTTGGATGTACTTGAGGGAATTTACATTAAAAAAAAAGAAGTCAATCGCCAGGCGTGGCGGTGCACGCCTTTAACCCCAGCACTCAGGAGGCAGAGGCAGGCAGATCTCTGTGAGTTCAAGGCCAGCCTGGTCTACATAGTGAGTTCCAGGCCAGCTGGGGCTACAGGGAGACCCTGCCTCAAAAAGACCAAAAAAAAGGAAAAAAAAAAAAAAGAAGTCATCACAAAATGTTAGACTGCATGATTTTGCTTCTACTTTTGTTTAAAATGTTTAAAATTCTATTTTGTGCGTCTATGTGTACATGTGTACAGATGCGCACGAGGAGGTTCCAGAGGACAACTTATGGGAGTCAGTTCACTCCTTCTACCTACCATGTGGGGGGATTGAACTCAGGTCATCAAGTTTGGCGGCAAGTGTCTTCAACCACTGAGCCATCTTGCCAGCTCACTATGCCATTAAGACAACAAAATACTAGAAAAATCAGTTACTTAAAAGAATCTTTGAGGGTTGACAAGGTGACTTGGTGGGTAAAATAATTTGCTGCTCAAACCTAATAACCTGAGTTCCATCTCAGGAACCCACATAGTAGGAGAGAACGAGCACCCAAAAGTTGTCCTCTGATCACCACTAGCGTGTCATGGCACATGTATGCCCACATTCATACACATCATACAAGTACAGTAATAATAAAATTTTTAATTAGAAAAATGAAAGAATATTTGAACCATAACCCATATAAATAAGCACCACTGGGAAACCCAAGTAGGTCTGTGGGTTGTGTCAAAGTCAACATCTGGTTTTGATAATGGTTATTTCCGACAACTGCATGTCACTGTAAGAGGATTTCAGATTAAACAATATAATTGATTATTATAAGCCATTACATGACTGTGCATTTTTACAGATGGGAAACTGAAGTTGAGTGGTTGGTAACCTGCCTCAGGTCTGCTTAACTCCAAAGGCCATGAACTTACCAGAATATTCTGATAATTACACTACAATGTAAATGGACTTAAGGGTTCAATAAAGGTTTGCTTTCTGCTAACAATAGAAATTTAAAGGTTTTTGTTTTAGAATGGGATGCCTGGAATTAGGCACAGAACAAAGACTACTATAGTCACAAGAAATTTCATTCTTAGATTCCTAAAAACAAGCAATTAAAACAATTTTTACTTATTTTCATTTCATGTATGAGTGTTTTGCCTGAATGTATACACCCATGTTGTACAATGCAAATGGAGGCCAGAAGAGGGAGTCAGACACCTTGAAACTGCTGTTAGAGTTGTTAGCTGCCATGTGGATGCTGGAAAGGGAACCCAGGTCCTCTGCAAGACCAGTCAGTACCACTGGTATTTAACCACTAAGCCATTTCTCCAGCCCTTCTTTTGTTTTTTGAGATAGGGTCTCCCTGTAGCCCCAGCTGGTCTAGAACTTGCTATGTAGACCAGGCTGATTTTGATCTCACAGAGACCCAGACTCCCTCTGCCTTCCAAGGACCTCGATTAAAGGGCCTGTGCCACTTCACCCAGCTCAAAACCAAGCAGTTTTTGAACACCAAAAAGTACCCAGTCAGCTTGGTAATGTTGACTTCAGGATTAAAAAAAAAAATCCTAAACCACATTTCAGCAAAATAATTTTATTTCCTAACATATGGTAAACATATACATCCAATGTGTTCACCTTTCACATCTATTCACAAATGACTTCCAAGTCACAATGGCTCTGATAGCTACATGTACTAAAAGTAGTTTTGTTGAGATATGAAAAGTTTTTGGATAGATAACTTCTGAATATATTAGACTGGTCACAGAGGAATCTGCTTCAGTTAGGTGAGTTCTATGAAGTTAAAGCTTTGGGAAGCCACTACACTCTTGCATCTAATATTTCCAGATGAACAGGATGCAGCAATATCAGCTTGTGTTCCAGAGAAATCGCATCAGTTTTTCTGGTGATGGAACCATTTATCCACTATATCCAGAGAAAAGAAATAACAAATTAAAAAAAAAAATTAAGCAAAATTACCAACATGTAAACAACAAAAAATAAGCTGGGAATGTGGCTCAACAGAAAAGCTTGCTTAATGAATGCTACACATTTTAACAGCTCCTATTACAGATCTCCTTACAGCACACATATGGCAAAGCTATACCATCACAAAAGCTGGTAACCTGGAAACCTGGCACACTATTTACAGTTGGGCCTCCTTTCTCTTTCTTTCTTTTCCCTCACTCCCTTTCTGTTTAGAGATTAAGGTCTCATGTAGATCTGGCTGGTCTAGAATTCATTATCCAGTCCAAGCTAACCTCAAACTTTTTTAAAAAATTATTTTTATTTTATGTATATGCGTGTATTGCTTGTATGTATGTAAGTGCATTCATGGCATGCAAAGCCCACAGAGGTCAAAAGAGGGCAACAGATCCCCTGGAACTGGAAATTATGGACAGTTCTTAGCAGCCATGTAGGTGCTGGGATTCCAATCTGGGTCCTCTGCAAGAGCAGCCAGTGCTCTTAACTACTGAGCCATCTCTCCAGCACCAATTTTCAATTTCTTAAAAAACTGAACTCTTTTTCTCACCAGAAGAAGCTTAAAGAGATTCTTTTATTTTGAGCAGGGTCTTGCTAAATAGCTCAGGCTGAACCTGTCATCCTCTTGCTCATCCCCTTGCTTTAGCTTACAGAGTGCTAAGATTACAAGCATGAATCACCACACCTGTCACTGAGATTTCAAAGGTCTAAAGGGGATAGAGCTGTTTTCCTGAGTGATACAGACAGATGGGAATGCAGAACCCAGCCCATGCAGTGGGTCACTGCTTAGAAGCCAGTGTGATAGTGGCCTAAAATACGGAAAACAAAAGATGGTCGTGTCCTTCGCATATCCTATAGAACCTAAAACGTCTCTCTTCCTCTCCCCATTCCATATATATGCAAGGTACACACAAACACACACACACACATATACAGATGTGTGCATGCATGACCATATATGTATAAATATTATAGACGAAGGGTACAGAGTAGATGTTAACTGGAAAGCAATGACCTTTATGGATTTATTGCACAGAATGGTGACTATAGGAAACAACAGTGCACTGTCTATTTCTTTTTTCTCTACCTTTTTTGGCACTGGGGACTGAACTCAGTTCCTCTAGTATGTTCCTGCACACTCTATACCAGGCTACATTCCTGGCCCAACTGAGTATTTCATAATGGCTGCAACTGTTGATTTTTAATGTTTCATCACAAATAAGTATGTGAAATGACAGACTTCTAACCTGATTTCATCTTTCTATATTATAAACATAGCAAAACATCGTGTTGTACCCCATAAGCATATACATATAACTATTTGTCAAGTAAAAATAAGGTTTTATATATATATATGTGTGTGTGTGTGTGTGTATATATATATATATATAATTTTCTATACAGACACATAATTTTAACATAATTATAGTGGACTCAGGTCTTACCATCTGCTGGTAGTGTGCAGGCAGATTCACATGGTGGTGGTAACTAAAACAAGTATTAAAATAATTAGTCTAATTCCAGAGTTTAGGTAAAAGCTAAACACATAGATGAAATTGGAAAAGAACTTGTATGAGTAAAGGTGAAACATGTGGATGCTCCTGACAAGAACAACTTCTGGCTCCACTTACAGGAACAATGCAGGTATGCTGAGAAGTCAACGACCACAGGAGAATAATGTGTTTGGTTTTTAGGCAGGCTCTCACTATTGTGAGAGCAACAGGGTCTCACTCTGTAGCCCTAGCTGATCTCCAGTTCAGAGATCCACCTGCCTCTGCCTCCCAAGTGCTAGAATTAAAGGTGTGCCACACCAGGCTCAGCCCACAATGTTTCTGAAATATAGAATAAAACCTGGCCAGGCTTGATGGTTCACATCTTTAATCCCAGCACTGTAGGCAGAGGTAGGCAGATATCTGTGACTTGGAGGCCAGCTGGGTCTATAGTCTATATAGCAAGTTCCACACCAGCAGGGCTACAGGGAGAACCTGTCTCAAAAACCTGACATGGGCCTTGTCATTAAGTTGTCTTTTTCTTTCATACTGTCCCATTTACAAGGCAGGGGGAAGTCAGAGGTCATTTTGTTTTGTTTGTTGGCTATTTTAATGGTATAAATGAAAATAATTTAATGACTTAAGTCAGTCTTTTGGTAAGTCAACATCAGATCATTAAAGCAGCACAAAATCAAACTGCAGCTTTAATGGATGCCTTAGGGATCTCATGTGGAAGTTCTGTGCTACTCTATGTCACTCTTGCTATGACACCTGCAATGTGCTCGCTTCCTCAGTCTTGACTAGAAGCAAATCAACTAAGTTCCCAGTGGCTCTCTTGTGGGAATGGTTTGACAGATGATAGGCATGTAGGCTACTTAGTATGTTCTGGAGTCACTCTGAGTTCCACAAATGATCTACTTTGCTGTCACTCTTCAGCTTTTCCTTCTAATGTCTGTCTGTTCTGGGTTCTGATTTCAAGACTTCATGCCATAGTAGGCACATAAAAGATACTCAAATCTTTGTGGGGAGAAGCACTTCTCTCCATGGATGCCCTATCTTTTGACCACCCAGTTTTCTTTGAAAGCAGAGGTTTGCTTACAGCATCCACAATGGCTCTGGCAGCATCAGGATCACACCTGAAGGGGCTCTCGGAGACCGTGGTGTTCATGCTGTCAATCAAACACAAGGAGTCAAAAGATGGAAAAACAAAAAGCCTTCTGAAAATAAGATGATGATGCTAGACAAGGTGACATTTAAATCTGGCTTGCTTGAAAGCTTTCCTGCCTATCTTAAACATTCTAATTATTTTGACAAGGAACAGATGTTCTTGTGATTTCATTAAAATCTCTTGAGTTGAAATTTAAGAAATCTGAGATTAAATCTTCTGTAGTTCTCACTGAAATAGCTGAGAAATGCAAATGGAAATATGAAACATCACTTTGCTAACTCCAAAAAAAGCGGCCAAGAAATGAAACAAATGTTCCCGACAGAAGCAACATCTGGTTCCACATTCTGAAAAATACTTCAGGATATTTTGAAAATCTTTTTTTTTGGGTCTTTTTGAGACAGGGTCTCTCTCTGTAGTCCCAGCTGGCCTGGAACTCACTATGTAAATCAGACTGGCCTCAAACTCACAGAGATCCACCTGCCTCCGCCTCCCAAGTGCTGGGATTAAAGGCATACATCACCACGCCAAGGCATATTGAAAATCTTGCACTCAAGAGGCAGAGGCAGGCAGATCTCTGTGAGTTCAAGGCCAGCCTGGTCTACATAGTGAGTTCCAGGACAGCTGGTACTACAGGGAGACCCTGTCTCAAAAAGACCAAAACAAAAATCAGAGGTTTTGATAAAGTCCACCTTCTAGACCTTCCAAAGATGTTCATCATTAATAATAAAGGCTGGAAGCAATCAAAATGTTTAACAATAAAGAATGATTAAATACAGCTTATCAGGGCCAGTAACAGCTTGGAGGGTAAAGGTACTTACCTCCAAGCCTGACAAACTGAGTTTGATCCCACATGGTAAAACGACAGAAGCAACTTCTGCATGTTGTCCTCTGACGCCACACCTGTGGTATAGCATGCTATTCCCACAGACATACATATAAACACACACACACTATTGCTTCATTTTGGATAAAATTAGTTTGCTACTTTTGCAAATCTATGTGGGTCCTTATTTCAGTCCTTTGAATAAAAGGCCAAGAACCTAGACTCCAACAACCAGCACCATTAGTCACTAAATTTTTTTTTTTTTTTTTTTTTGGTCTTTTTGAGACAGGGTCTCTCTGTAGCCCCAGCTGGCCTGGAACTCACAGAGATCAGCCTGCCTCTGCCTCCCAAGTGCTGGGGTTAAAGGCATGCACCACCATGCCCAGCTAGTCACTAAAATCTTTGATACAAGCTGGCCTGCTTTGTGTATTAAACACATAGAAAGGAGTTAAAACTTACCAACTGATTCCTTTTCCATCCGTTTTCTTAGTTACTAATGCTTTCCAATAGTCATGAGTGCTTTTAATAATATTAATCGCAAAATCCTGAAATTTGAAGACACAGGCATTACAACAATAGAAAAAGATGTCTTTTTCTATTATTTATATTCCCTCCAAACCTATTACGTCTCTGCAAACTAAGGCGAGCACTCTACCACTGAAGTACATCCCTGGTTCCCTTCTTTTATGAATCTTTAGATGGGAACAACATGGTTAAATTCTAAGTCCCAATACAAATGGTCTAAAGCAATAGTTCTGAAAGACATACTACCTTGTCTTTAAATTCTGCATTGAAAGCAAACTCATTTTCTGGTTTTCCATCAGGAACCTTGTACCTTCTAAACCAGTCAACAGTGGCTTCCAGGTAGCCGGGTTTCAGTCGTTTGACATCATTAATATCTAAGGAGAGAGAATAAGCACATTGCATGATATATAAGTAATTATTTAGGTACTAAACAAAATTAAGGAATTACATTGAGAGAAATATAATTATTTAATAAAATAAAATTATTTAATAAAAGTTGAGGATAGTATTGAGCTGAGAAGAGAATGCTTAGAAATTAAAAGAAAATTTTCCAGTGTATTTGAATAGCTCTGACATTAAGAACTGAGAGAGGGTGCAGAGTGTGGTAGCACATGCCTTTAATCTCAGCATTTGGGAGGCAGAGACAAGCTGATTTCTGCAAGTTCAAGTCCAGTCTGGTCTACAGAGTAAGTTCTAGGTTAGCTGGGATAAACAAGACCCTGACTCAAAACCACCACCACCAACAACAAAACCCAAAACAGAAACAAAAAACCAAACTGAGAGGATCAGCAGGACTGTTATTGGATGGAGGAAGTGAAATGAGTGGGGATATAGGATCAAAGAGCCAGTTTGTCAGGTATGCATAATTTCCATAAGAAGAGCACAAGATACTGAAAAAAGGCAAATAGAGACTATGTCAGAGGCTCAGGCTCCAATTACACAACAATGTACTCAACTGATATCATTTATGGATTGCACTGTAATTAACTGATTTAATTTGCAGCACTGGGGATCAAACTTGGGGCCTTGTGCATGCTAGGAATCCACTAAACTACTAAGTTACTTCCCTGGCCAATGGGTTACACTTTGAATGTGACTGGACTGCTTGATACTACAGGCACTCTAAGTCACAGTGAGCCTTTAGTTCTAGCTAATAGAAAAGTGTCCAAATTCCTGCTCCATGAAAAAAAAGTGCTAAAAAGTCAAGCCCAGGCACGGTAGCCTGTATCTGTAATCCCAGCACTGAAGGATGCTGAAACAGGAGGATCTGGAAATCCAAGCGTGCCTAGACTACATGGTGAGGCTCTATCCCCCAACAAAAACAAAACAAAATAAAGCAATATAAAAAAGATGGCTTCAAAGCTGGGCACTATGGTTCATGCCTGTAATCCCAGCATTTGGGAGGCTGGAGGCAGAAGGAACAAAAGTGCAAAGCTAGCCTGAGTTACAAGACACCCTGTCTTCAAAAAGGGGGTGGGAGGTGGAGGCTCCAGTCCAATTTGTAAATTACTTAAAGAACATCCTGAATTCTGTTTCGGCATCATTAAAATTATAGAAAGCATTTGGACTAGGAAATATTTAAATGCTGGGGCTATAGTTCAGTTTGTAGAGTGCTTACCTAGCATGCAGGAGGCCCTGGGTTCCTAGCATTTCATGGACCTGATATGGTGGTGCACACCTGAAACTCAGCATTCAAGAGGTGGAGACATGGCCGGCATGGTGGCACACACCTTCAATCCCAGCACTTGAGAGGCAGAGGCAGGTGGATCTCTGTAAGTTCAAGGCCAGCCTGCTCTACCTAGTGACTTCCAGGACATCTGGGGCTACAGGGAGACCCTATTTTTAAAAAGACCAAAAAAAGCTGGGTGTGGTGGTGCACGCCTTTAATCCCAGCACTTGGGAGGCAGAGGCAGGCGGATCTCTGTGAGTTCAAGGCCAGCCTGGTCTACATAGTGAGTTCCAGGCCAGCTGGGGAGACTGTCTAAAAAAAAAA